CTGGGCCAGGCCGAGAGGTCCCTATGCCAGGCCGGGCGGTCACTGTGCCAGGCCGGGTGGTCATGGGGCCAGGCCGGGGCTTCACTGTGCCAGGCCGGGAGGTCACCTTACGATCTGATGGTAGACTCCGAAATCCCTTTGTTCCATAGCTTTCTGCAGTCTTTCTCCAATTTGTTAAGTATCATCTTCAGTTCATCATCTGCCATGGTGAGATTTTAACCCACAACCCTTGAATCATAGAATTCCTACAGTGTGGAAGCAGGCCATTCAGCCCATTGAGTCAACACTGACCCTCCAAACAGCATTCCACCCAGTCTCACCTACCCTACTCCTGTAACCCTGCTTTCCCCATGGCTAATCCACCTAGCCTATGTCCCTGGGCACAATGGGCAATTTTGCATGGTCAATCCACCTACCTGCACATCTTTTGACTGTGGGAGGAAACTGAAGACACGGGGAGAATGTGCAAACTCCACACAGACAGTTGCACGAGGCTGGAACTGAATGTGGGTCCTTGGCACTGTGTGGCAGCGGTACTAACCACTGAGCCACCATGCTGCCCACATTAGCCTGAGGTTCTGAATCAATAGCCCAGTGACAGACTGATTCCTGGGATGGCAAGGCTGACATTTGAGGAAAGATTGGATTGAGTGGGCTTGTACTTGCTGGAATTTGGAAGAATGAGGAGGAATCTCATAGAAACATATAATGTTCTGATGGGACTGGACAAACCAGATGCGAGAAGAATGTTCCCGATTTTGGGGAAGTCCAGAACTATGGGTCACAGTCTAAGAATAAGGGGTAAGCCATTCAGGACTGAGAAGAGGAATAATTTCTTCACTTAGAGAGTTGTGAACCAGTGGAATTCTCTCCCACAGAAAGCTATTGGGGCCAGTTCGTTAGATATATTCAAGAGTGAGCCGGATGTGGCTCTTGTGGCTAAAGGGATCAAGGCATATGGGGAGAGGGCAGGAATGGGACACTGAGATTGCATGATCAGCCATGATCACATTGAATGGTGGTGCAGGCTCAAATGGCCCACTACAGCACTTATTTTTCTATGGTTCAATTACCACAACGCCATTGCCTCCTCACAATGGGAAGGCGACAACTTAGTGGTATTATCAGTGGACTGTTAATCCAGAGACTCAGGTAACATCCTGGGAATCTGGGTTCGAATCCCGCCACAGCTTATGGTGGAGTTTGAATTTAGTAAATATCTGGAATTAAGAATCTAATGATCACTGTGAATCCATTGTTGATTGTCAGGAAAACCATCTGATTCACTAATGTCCTTTAGGGAAGGAAACTGCCATCCTTACCTGGTCTGGCCTACATGTGACTCCATTCCTACAGCAAGGTGGTTGGCTTCAACTGCCCTCTGGGCAATTAGGAATGGGCAATAAATGCTGGCTTAGCCAGAAATGCCCTCATCCCGTGAATGAATAAAGAAAAAAAAGGTATCATCTTTTCGACTGAATAAATATTTCCTCAATGACATCAGCAGGCTATCTCCAATTACCGGAACACTCAAAATCTCAACTGAACAAACCTGTGCTTTTTCATGATCAATGTTTATTTTTTCATTCAGAGGACATGGGCATTACGGGCTGGGCCCAGCATTTATTGCCTGTCCCTAGTCACCCTTAAGAAGGTGATTGTGAGCTGTCTTCTTGCATCGCTGCAGTACATGTGCTGCATGTAGACCCACAATGCCATTAGGGAGGGAATTCCAGAATTTTGACCCAGCGACAGTGAAGTAACAGCGATATATTTCCGAGTCAGGATGGTGAGTGGCTTAGAAGATAATTTGCAGGGGGTGATGTTCCAATGCGTCTGCTGCCCTCGTCCTTCTAGAAAGAAGTGATCATGAGTTTGGAAGATGCCATCGAATGAACTTTGGTGAACATCCCCACTTCTGTCCTTATGATGGGGAGAAGGTTTTTGATGGAGCAGCTGAAGAAGATGGTTGGGTCTACGACACCCTCCTAAGGAATCCCTGCAGACATGTCCTGGAGCTGAGATGATTGACTTCCAACCAGTAATTACCCACTGTTTTTGTTTCTTGTGCTTCCTTCCTTCTGTGTGTTTGGGCATGAGGACCAGGGGGATGGAGCCCGGGCCTCGGGACCACACCGGGGGGATGGAGCCC